TTGTTGGTAACACCGCTCGCCGACTGGCTGCTGCCTTGCCGCTTGTCTGTAGTTCTTCAAGGGATTGTGAGATGCGATTTGCATGAATAATGCTGCGTACAACTTAACATTACTCTTAGGGCCAGGCACAGCTGCATTTGCAGTAGTAATGGGAGGACCGATGCAACTGTCTTTAATTGGCAGCATGTGCACAACTGCAGCACCTGTATTCAACTAACAACGCCATCATCATCATCACCAACATCGCCACTATCATCATCATTACGCAGCGTATTTTAGGCGACGCCTGTATGGCAATTAGTGCTCGTGTTTCCGCCACTGAGTGTAACTGCCCTCCGTGTGGCAATTAAGCACACGGCATTGAGAGGGGTCTGTCTGTGTCTCCATAAGGGTCGCTCGCAATAAGTCCGAGCTTGCAATCCGACTCACGGAAAATTGATGGTGTGAGAAGGACCTGAACCTATTATATACGGCCATGCATTGTGTTTCACACAATTGGTGTTATATATCACACCTTGTGTGTAAGCCGGCACCTTGCTACACCTCCTATTCCCCTATGGAGCCCTGGTGAACTTCAAGTTGGTGAGTGGGCAGTAGGACCTGGTCATGTATCTGCCATGTATTGCGAGGACGTTATTTTATGTATATATAGCTGAAGGGAATTAATGAGTTACGAAGTGGACTGACTGACGGCAATTATAAAAGGGACTTCACAAAGAGCGAGAACCACTGAAATTTAAATTAGCTTTTTTTATGGATAATCAAATCCACAAATTTACCGCTTTTGAATTCAGACCTTATCTTCACCATAAAATAGGTGACCCAATGATCATTTATACCGGGTTATCAATGGGCTACAGTAATTAAATCATGGCGTACTCAGGAGTTTTTGGAGTGACTTAATCCCAAAAATAATTATATCAGCCATAACGTATACGGTCTAGCTTTCAGTAATATGTACCTAATCTCGTGGGTGTCTCTTAGCTATATCTAAAAACTTTGAGGAGGGGGAGGGGTGTCCATTCTCCTACGACACCCACGGTGGCTACAGCCCTCCAATGAGCAGCATACACACATGTGCTTGAACATCGAGTATTGTGTAATAATGGAATATTTGTTTACTCACGATGTAGTAATTATCACGGGGTGGTGGGGGAGGTGTAAGAGATTAATCAATCCGTCCCTAATTTCTGTACCCAACAAAGTAATCTATGAGAAGGCTTCTGCAGAGCCGAGGATAAAAAAAAAACAAGGGTGTGAAAAATGACACCTTTGATGAGGAAAACTTGACAATGACACCCCGCACTGTGGATTACAGCGACGCAACTCAGCCAATCTACCCCTTGGCTGTATTTCAAAACATTGGGCTAACTTTATTATATAGTGTGCGTATGGACGCCAAGGTTAATAGCAATTTAATAAATTATACAATACACAAAAAGAGCAGATAATACATTGTTGAGTGCCAGTCTCTTAGCACCATGACGTTATTTAATGGTCTGTCTTAAACACGCAACTGCTGTGTTATGATGAAAACAGCAATGTTCCCATTACCTATCCGCTCGCGGTTTTATTTTCCAGTCGGCGTACCTCTCCGCGGTGCAATATTGCCGCTCAATATTTCACAAATCCTCACGAGCGGGTGGAAGGAAACACACTCTCGTGGCGTTCGCAGTCCGTGGAGAAGCGTGGCAAGCGGCACGCCGCGCTGGGTGCTAATCGGGCGCACGCGTGCACGGCCACTGCTCGAGGGGTCGACGTCGATGCTTGTGCACCCCGCTGACATTCAGGCTATCGGATGAGTGCGCAACTTCATTGGCAAAGTTGAAGTTGAAGCCCGAGCTTGCATTGAAAGCACGGCGAACTGCGTCGCGAATTATTCGTCACCCAACGCGACTCAACGAGCCGTGACATTTCATGGCCACAATTGAACCTGACATCGTGGTGCATTGTAGTGCCCCGAGAGGCTGCAGGTGTCGCATGAATTAATCACAATGTATACAAAACTAAAAAAGATATATACTCAATAATTATCTGCATTAATTCATGCAAGTTTACCTTGAATACAAAGATCAATTATAATTGATGATTCGATACATTGTTAATGCCTATGAGATATGTTCAACTTCAATGTTGTTTTGTTTAACCAGCTGAGAACTGTAGTGACCAGGATAGAGTCTCAATGGCAATAGTCAACTGGGTCACTAAATGACAAAAAAAAAATTGGAGACCGAAAAAGCACACACACACACACGTCTTCACTAGCAGCCTCCATTATGCCATTGAGAGGTGGTGACGTCATCGCAACGCTTGTGCACTTGTTTGAAGCGAGGTGCACTTTCAGACCACATGAAGTGTCAAAGGATCGCTAACAAGGAAGGCGGTCACAGGACAAACCCAGGTGTTATAGGTTGACTGACTTAGATGACTGGTAGATGCCCCACCTGTGCTCCCGACTGTGCCAACTTTCTGTGATTTTGCCTACCAGCGCTCTACTCGTTTTTGAGCGGCGCTCCTCTGCCCTCCGTTGTTGCTGGAGTGTGACTGCCTCCAACTGCCCAGTAGCGTCCTTCACGAGCCTCCTCCACGAAAGCCAATCTTGACACCACCGGAACAAGTCTTCGGCAAGTCCACTCAGCTCCACATTTTCAGCCTATCTCTTTGCCAGCCTGTGCCATGCTCATTTAGCCCCTCTATCCGGCAAAAAAAAACGGTTTGTGCATGTGAAGGCTGGACATGCAGGTTATATCACCAAGCCAAAGCAGCCTCACCTGCGTCCAGATCTGTAAAAGATATGTGAGCTCTGAACACATTCCAGCCAGGTTCAACCCTAAATGGATCGTAGGTAGGCCAGCATGAATCAAACGGGCACCGATGTTCCACACGTTTTGCAAGTATAGAGACTTATGCACGTACAGTGAGGGAAAAAGTATTTGATCCTCTGCTGATTTTGTACGTTTGCCCACTGACGAAGAAATTATCAGTCTATAATTTTAATGGTAGGTTTATTTGAACAGTGAGAGACAGAATAACAACAAAATAATCCAGAAAAACGCATGACAAAAATGTTATAAATTGATTTGCATTTTAATGAGGGAAATAATATTTGACCCCTCTGCAAAACATGACTCAGTACTTGGTGGCAAAACCCTTGTTGGCAATCACAGAGGTCAGACGTTTCTTGTAGTTGGCCACCAGGTTTGCACACATCTCAGGAGGGATTTTGTCCCACTCCTCTTTGCAAATCTTCTCCAAGTCATTAAGGTTCCGAGGCTAACGTTTGGCAACTCGAACCTTCAGCTCCCTCCACAGATTTTCCATGGGATTAAGGTCTGGAGACTGGCTAGGCCACTCCAGGACCTTAATGTGCTTCTTCTTGAGCCACTCCTTTGTTGCCTTGGCCGTGTGTTTTGGGTCATTGTCATACTGGAATACCCATCCACGACTCATTTTCAATTCCCTGGCTAAGGGAAGGAGGTTCTCACCCAAGATTTGACGGTACATGCTACGTCCATCGTCCCTTTGATGCGGTGAAGTTGTCCTGTCCCCTTAGCAGAAAAACACCCCAAAGCATAATGTTTCCACCTCCATGTTTGACGGTGGGGATGGTGTTCTTGGGGTCATAGGCAGCATTCCTCTTCCTCCAAACACGGCGAGTTGAGTTGATGCCAAAAAGCTCCATTTTGGTCTCATCTGACCACAACACTTTCACCCAGTTGTCCTCTGAATCATTCAGATGTTCATTGGCAAACTTCAGACGGGCATGTATATGTGCTTTCTTGAGCAGGGGGGCCTTGCGGGTGCTGCAGGATTTCAGTCCTTCACGGCGTAGTGTGTTACCAACTGTTTTCTTGGTGACTATGGTCCCAGCTGCCTTGAGATCATTGACAATATCCTCCCGTGTAGTTCTGGGCTGATTAATCACCGTTCTCATGATCATTGCAACTCCACGAGGTGAGATCTTGCATGGAGCCCCAGGCCGAGGGAGATTGACAGTTCTTTTGTGTTTCTTCCATTTGCGAATAATCGCACCAACTGTTGTCACCTTCTCACCAAGCTGCTTGGCGATGGTCTTGTAGCCCATTCCAGCCTTGTGTAGGTCTACAATCTTGTCCCTGACATCCTTGGAGAGCTCTTTGGTCTTGGCCATGGTGGAGAGTGTGGAATCTGATTGATTGGTTGCTTCTGTGAACAGGTGTCTTTTATACAGGTAACAAGCTGAGATTAGGAGCATTCCCTTTAAGAGTGTGCTCCTAATCTCAGCTCGTTACCTGTAAAAAAGACACCTGGGAGCCAGAAATCTTTCTGATTGAGAGGGGGTCAAATACTTATTTCCCTCATTAAAATGCAAATCAATTTATAACATTTTTGACATGCGTTTTTCTGGATTTTGTTGTTGTTATTTTGTCTCTCACTGTTCAAATAAACCTACCATTAAAATTATAGACTGATCATTTCTTTGTCAGTGGGCAAATGTACAAAATCAGCAGGGGATAAAATACTTTTTTCCCTCACTGTATGCATTTTGTACTTCTTTCGCACCGTACGTAGCCAACCGTGCTAATCGGAGGGCATAACTGTGGCCAGGAATACCAAAAGCTTCACATGGAGTGACAGCGCAGGTAGCATGCACAGCGCATTACGCAGCTAATGAAAATAAAACGCCGCTCGGCTTATTTGGAGTGATTCATCATATTAACACACCTTGCCACGGGCAGCAACACAGTGTGTGAGTGTGTGAACGTGTTCTTGTGCACGTGCACACAACCAACGCACTTTTGCATCGAGATTGAAAACTCATTTCTTGAGAACTGCCTGTTGTTGCATTCAGGTTCAATGTACAGTGTACATACGTACGGCGCATCGCCAGCTGAGCGGTCAGCACGCAGCCAGTTCGCAGTGGAGTTCACAGTTCGATTCCCACCTCAGCGCGGAGCCGCAGAGATGGCTACGCGAGGACGTTAAAGACCCCCCCCTCCCCTTTAACTTCGCCGCCTCACCTGCTCGTCCACGCGGTGGGCCGTGACCGATGCCCCTTCCTCCAGCTCGGCATCGTTGATGGGCCGGATGCGTAGAGCCACCTGCTCACGAGTCACGAGGTGGGGGTGATATGAAGGGGGTGATACGGAGGGGGTATGGTGGTTGGGAGCGTTTCAGAATCAGAATCTTTATTTAGAATGAAGGTGGAATCCGATGAGCTATGAGGCTTTTTTTCACAGATGTTCAGTATGGGCGGATCAGCGAGTTGCAACAGCGAACGATACAAAAACAGTGCAAAAAAATAGAAAAAATTTAAGCAAGTCGCTGAATATAAGTAAATAATGATACAAAAAATACAAGTCACATGTATCATGATTGAGCAAGGCATCAGGTAATGGGGTTACACAAGGTGGAGAGGGTGCAGAGGAAACCAAGAGGGTCAACCATGCGTGCACACATTCACTGCAGAACAGGGCCACAGTTTTGAAATGGTCTACACGGGATATATAACCTGGGGTGGCACGGTGGTGTTCCACTATACAGTATTAAACATCTTCAGTATTTATGAACCAATGTATATGGGGAGGAGTGGTGTGCATAGACTGAATGTGTGTGTATATATACTTTATTTACATTATTGCAGGATATAACCTACTGCTGTGGAGCGGTGACACCGTGATTTGCACGTGCCATGAACCCGGCGACCTGAGTTTTATTCTCACCCACGGATAACATCAGTGGTGAGTGATATCTAAACCAGTCCTGGGCTGCCCATTCAAAAACCCACACTGCCCAGCGTGGTGAAATATGGTCAAACAAGTCGTAGGGAGGTCCTTCCTATGGCAGTGGATTGACATGTAACTATTGCGTCGAATATGAGCTGCTGATGTGGCACAACGCTCCACGCAGAAATGTAACTTGTGTGAGCTAGTCCACAATTTATTCAGTGTCAATAAAATGACTGACTTCGTGGGAGGTCAACGGTGCCCCCCCCCCATCATATGAATGTGGAATTGCACTGCTGCTTTAGGGCCTCCGACAGCAATTAGCACTGATCAATGCTCATTTGAGCAGGGAGGCACTTTGACTGAACCGAGTAGAAAATTGAATTGTCCGGTAGCAAATGTAATAATCACCAGGCTATTAAGACATCACAATGACTCGTTTCATTTGTATCCCTCCACTCCATATACTTGCCGTTACACATGTTATACGTTCACAAAACATAAAGTAATCTGGGTCTATCCATCAAAAAAGTAATGAGAACTAAAATGTCAGCCCATCATTCCTGGCCAGTGCTTAATATCAGGATTTATTTAAGCAGGCAAACTCTGGACCTGTTTCCACCTCCTGGATCACATCACCTGCAACGTCCTGGCGTTTTTTGCAGGTGATGATTGGCTTAAGCCACCCACAAGGCTCGGAGCATACCCGTAACAGTGTTAGGTTTGCCTTTACTGAACGTGAACAATTCTCCGAAGCTGGGCTCAAGATACATGTGAGTTATACAAAAGTCGTGTAACAAGTTTGGTAAACAAAGCAACATTTTGAGAGGGAGGCAACTGGAAAACGCATCAGTATGTGACGACGTAGAGCAATTATGGAAGGTGGATATGGATTAAAGTGATGGAGCAAAGAGGTGAACAAAAAGCAAGATCGAAAACATAATTCGTTCATGAAGCAAAGTAAGTTGGCTTGGGCAGGACACATCGCTGGAATGATGGTCGATGGATGAGACAGGTGATTGAATGACAGCCCAAGTAAAAACATCCCCACCACCACAATGGAACGACGGTGAAAAGCTTATGCACAGCAGACGGACTGTGACATCGCAAGCTCGTTAGAGATTGTGACATCGTTTGGGGAAGCGTTCATCCAGCGGTAGATATAATTAATGGCTTATCATGATGAACAAACCACACAAGCAAACACGCACCGTCAGTTGATGATCTTTGGATTCTCCGTTGTCCTTCATCTTCTCTCTGCTTCTTCACAAATCCAGGACCATGAGATGGGTTCACAGCTCGCAGCTGTGGCCGATGATGATGATGATGCCCTTCCTCTGGCGACCAACTAGCAGCCAGGGGTGGGTCCCCTTGGCTGACTGAAGCAGCTATGAGTGAAGGTCTCCGTCCCCCAAACACAGGGATGTGATGGATGTATACGTATACACCTAACTGTATGCGCGTGGAACAAAACTACTCGGCCTATACGCGCGTGAGTGCACACACACGCGCCCGCCTGCCCGTGCACGACAGCTTTGTGTTTTTCGGAGTTCTTCGTCAAGAGAATGGCGCAACGCGCATTTGTATAGTAGGCTGTGTCCTTCTGTCTCGGGGTTTAAAAAAAGAGAGCACAGAAGCCGTGCCAACATAGAACAGCGGCTAACCCTGCTCGCCAATTACCATCACAAGAACCCCGCGATGCGCGTTTGACCGCCCGCGGATTTGACGCATTTTACGTGGCCAAGGCGCAAGGTCCCTGCGATGGTCCCGCGGCTACGGAACGCAACGGCGAAGGGGGCGAACAACCCTCGAGACGCCGCTGCCCATTCGGACACACGGCACAGAGAACCTCCAAGCCGCCCCAACGCTGCCTAGAACACACAGCCCCTATATATTATAATCGGCGCTGCGTAATGTGGTATATCTACCGCGCCCACACAACAACAATAAGCTATAGAAACCCCACCGACCAGGCAGCGCTTGACTCTTTAGTCCGTCCGTAAGCCCCTGCTAAACCAAATGCACCCTCAGTAGTTCACATACAGCTCAGATACATATCCATCAAAATCGACGAATCAATGCCCACAGGCTGCTGGAACGGTGGTCGCGGGTTCGTATTTGTCGCGAGCGCGCAGCTCGGCGCCGTGCGAGCACCGACTGCGTTGTTCGAGTGGCGGTGTCATCGCGGACGGGGGAAGCGGACCGCGTCGTCACCCTGGGCACCCGGGAGCCACGGGGAGGGTGAGGGGGGGGGCAGTGCTGCCTGCTGTGCCCTCCCCTCGCTCTCTCTCTCTCTACCTCCCTCCCTCCCTCCTCCCAACTCCACCAGCTCTCCCTCCCTTCGCTTCTCTTAACTCGCCATCGATGCCTCAATATTCCTCCATCCTCTTTGCCTTCCTCATCCCACCGTCTCTCAATCCCTCCATCCCTCCCTCCCTTCACATAGCCCTGCATTCAGAGCTCTCTTTCCCTTCCCCTCCCAACAGCGGCTTTTGGATAACCATCGAACAAAAACGGCCACTGCATCGCGCGCTTTCAGATGCGCTTTTGCGGCCGTCTGGAACGCTCCTCCTTCCGATATTAGGAAGCCACTGGAGTTGTGTACTTTTAAATCTGGATTGAGAACTAATTTATTTAGAATAGCTTTTTGTGTTTAGTTTGCAGTCCTTCCCCCGCACCACCGATTATCACGATTGGATACGTACGGTGCGAAAGAAGTTCAACATACATAAATACATAACGCCATTGCCTTTCAATCAAATTCTTCTCTCTCCTCAATCTTCTTATCCCGGTCGCTCCCTCAATCACCCCATCCCTTCACATCTCTCCTCTCTCTCCCTTCATCTCGCTATCTCTCCAGCTCACCATCGCTCTGCCTCTCTATTTATCTCTCCAATCCTTCGTCTGTCCTTTCAACCTCGAGCTCCTTTTATCTTCCTTCATCTACATAACTCCATACTCTTTGCCTCTATTCATTCCTCCTTCCATCTCTCCCTTCCTTCACCTCTCTCTCTCTTTTTTTCGATCAGAGGAAACAAGAATATGCTCGGTGTAGTCGGCACTTTGCTTCGTTCATCATTTCGTTTTTTCTTTCAATGCTTTGCTTTATGTAATCCCCCCTCTTTTTAAATGAAAGATTTCACAAAAGATTTCTCTCTCTCTAGCGATCTCTCTCCCTCCATCACATTCATATCAACCTCCCTCCACTCACCTCACTATCGATCCCTACCTCCATCCCTTCATTTAGTTTTTATTGCTTGTGCTTTGTGCACTACTGCTAATGTGGAATCACGGAATTCATTTTTTTTTATATTGCGCTCATACATGGAACAATGCGGTACAAATTACACACCACAACTTTGAAACAATAAAACAAACTAGATAAAAAAAAATAGACCACAAGGAATTTATTCTTCAAACGAATCACAACCGTGAATTGTGCTAATTTACAGTGAATAAATATTGCATGCCTACTACCACTGAGGCAAACATCTATAATTGTGTGGAGTCTGTCGGGACTTTTGGCTGAGAGGCGCGATGTCTGTGATAGGGGCTGTGGTGGTGTGTGTGTGGGGAGCGGTAGTGTAGCAGTTAGCACGCTGCGCTACGAACCCGCCGGCCCAAGCTCAATTCCCGCTCACGTCCAACACCGGTGACGATTATCTTAACCGGACCTGGGCCTCCGTTAGGTCAACTCAGCCTCAAAATGAGTATCTGGTGCGGTGTGGGAACATCGCCACCACGGTGACAAAGCCAGCCGGCCGTGGTGCTGGCCACCCACCCCTCGTGTGCTGTTCCGGCTTCCATAGGTTTTCGCGAACAGCACTTGCCCCAACAGTCTGTTAAGGCTATAAGGGGCGTCTTTGTCTTTCGTCGTATGATGGGGATGCAGCGTGGCTCATTATGCAACCGAAATATATATTTTTTGGCTTTGTGCCAAAATGAGATTTTCTAAATCTCTTTTTCCTTTAAACTAAACGTGTTCGAGTGATTTTAATTTCAACATGTAAAAACGACAGGTCAAGAGCTTCTGCTGGATACAAATCCAATATATTTGCAGATACTGTGGACAAAGAAGCTCGCGATAGATTCACGTGATGTACTATCGGCCCATTACGTGTTCGTTAAAAGAGCAGGTCGTGGTTTTAATACTTATATACTATATAACAACTAGCCTTTTGCCCGTCCAAGGACGGGTGTATTGCAGTAAATCTGAAAATTGCAAGCGAAAAGCAGAGCGCTACGTGATATTCATTGCATCAATTCGTGTGCAATTTGTAAGGCCGCGGTGACACAGACCTATTTCATTTATAAAGGTTATCATCTCTTGTTCATCATGACGTCCTTTTTACTTCTATGTCGTCAATGTTATTTTCTTTGAACCATCGACGTGACTTTACCGAAAGACCCAAAGAATATCTCAACAGCGTTACGGAGATCGCGTGACGTGAGGGTTCTGCCTTTGTAGTGAGGGTTGTGAGTTGACGTTGAGGAGGGGGGAGGCGCCTCGCCCCCCCATGTGGAGTGACGTCACCTCTTTATGATTATTAATGTTCGATGTGGAGTGACGTCACCTGCTCATGATTATTAATGGGGGGGGGAGGTGCTACATGTGGAGTGACGTCATCTGCTCATGATTATTAATGAGAGGGGCTGTCCATGTGGAGTGACGTCACGCGCGGGACACACAGACATTCTTGGCTCATTACAGTAGTAAATATACGGGGGGAAATTATGTCATTGGTTTTACATTATCCTTTACATGAACATATTAGATTCCTGACCTATTATATTATCACCTCCATAAGGGATACATTTATATACAAAAAAGTTACTTCACATACTGTGAGTAATCGATGATTTTTTAAGTTCATAAAGATTTTGAATGAAGATTTTTTTGTTCAAGAAGGAAGTCTCTGTAACCTTACCCCCGATAGGCATAAGTGTTCAGGCGAGCTAGAGTTACAACAGTGACACTTTTACTTTGCATCTATTAATGCTAAATGCAATCCAACATTAAACATAATGTTAGTTACTTACCCGGAAAAATTTTTCAATGAGTCTCAGGTCTTATTCTTTGGGTCTTTTGGTAAAGTCAAGTAGATAGGTTGAAAGAAAATAACATAAAACTACGTTTCGATCACAACACAAGCGATCGTCTTTCAACCTATCTACGTGACTTTACCAAAAGACCCAAAGAATATTAATTCCTGCAGTCACGAAAGCTTTAAGTCAACATTTGAGTCTCAGGTCTCTTTATTAATGGACAATTTCACCTTAAGGAGTGTTTTTGTACCTCTTCGGACGCATGTTTACTAAGTACCGTGAAGCATTACAGCATGAAAGAATAGTGGGGACGTTGTTTTCAATACTGCAATGAAGTTATTGTTTCGCATTATTATTTGTTGTTGTGAAGTATCGTTATCAGTGTGGTTGTGCGAAGTGTTGCATCGCAGGAGTTTGAAGCACGTGGCAGCTTGCGGAGGCCTTCATCCATATTCTTAGGTGTTTTCGGTAAAGTCACGTAGGTAAAACATCAAAATTAATAAAAATAATAAAATAAAATAAATATCACGACGTTTCGGAGGCAACACAAGTCTCCGTCATCAGGTGGGACAGTCACAGCCAGATTAGCTGCATCAAGTGAGGCAACGATTCAAGATGCAATCCCTTAAAAGCGAGTTGAGGGGGGAGGAGAGGGGGGGGCTCATCAGAATGTGGCAGCCAATGAATGGAAAGTATCGGGAGAGAGGGGCCAAAAAAGGGTGGGCGACGGCGTGGAAGCTATTGTGCGCAAGCCTTCATCCAGCAGTGGATGGATCGTGGCTGATGATGATATTTATATTTCTTCTGGTCAACGGGAAAATATTTTGCAAATTTGACGTTGTTACAAATCGTTTAGGCGTTCATCGTGCACTATGTACCTGTTCAAAGAGAAATGTCACGGTGTTGCTACCTCTGTAGCATTAACAAGAGGGACATTATTACATTATATTTCAACGATCGTTTTATTGTTATCACTGCAGGGGCAAGAATATAATTGACTCATATTCAATACACATTGTACGTACTGTGTTGTTTATGTGAAGTGGGGTTGGAGCAGTGACGCAGGGTGTGATGCATTGCACGATGAACACAGCCACCTGAGTTTGATTCCCAGCCTGCCCCCCCCCCACCGTCCCGACACCAAACCGCACCAACGAGTGTGGTGAAGAATGGCCAAAATCCCCCTGAACCGGACATGGTGTGTGGAGGCCCTTTAATCAGCAGTGGATTGACAACGAGCTGTAAATGTATTATTATAACTTTTTTTATCTCATCCCCACGAATTAAAATGAACTCATCTTAGTAAGGCCATACACATATTCAAGTCTCGCTGAATAGCTCGTGATTAAATCGTGTCGTGTACATGTAGGAGTGGAGCGTTGGTAGTTAATGCACTATAATGCACGAGCTGCACGAGTTAAATTCCTGGCCATGGCGAGCACGGGTGAAATCTAGGCGTTAATTAATTTCATAATATAATCCGATATTTGTGTACTTTATATTCCTATAATCATGCGGACTGGTTTATAAACAAAATGTGATGACTAAATCAACATAGATGAATGTGGCGTGCCAACATTATTCCCGGAACAGTGTTCTAGACATTCGAAAATAAGCCCCGATGATGTCTGAAATGGTCCTGGAAAGAGCCTTCACCAACCCGCACTGGTCAGCTTGGGAAACTATGGCCAAACAACCCCCCCCCCCCCCGTGACCCACATGGCGTGGGGAGACCTACATCCAGCAGTGGAATGACGATTACGATTACAGAGAGAGATGAACGCTACATTGATATTTCAGTGTTCATGTATCGCACAACGGAAAACGGAATTATTGACTATGTGCGCAAAAAAGTTGAATTTTTTCTTCTATTTTAGCAAATACACTTATTGATATATGTCTAGAAGGCGTAAAAACACGCGCACGCACGCGCACGCACGCGCACGCACGGTAAGGGGTGCCCCCCGCCACCCTCGCCCTCCGTCTCTCAGAGAGGAATGCTCAACGTCAACCTTGACCTCGTGGAGAATGGAGGGTGGAGTGCGGGGTGCGAGGTGTGCGGTGTGGGGCGAGGGGTAACGCGAGGGGGAGGTCATTGCTTAGTAACGAAGAGGACGCCCAGGGGAGAGCAGTGGTGGTGGTGGTGGTGCAATGGGGAGGAATGC